GTATCTTTTGATTTCCTTAATCTCATTGTTAACCTATTCATTGTTTAGTAACATGTGATCTAGCTTCCATGTTTTTGTGTGATTTTCAGTTATTTTCCTTGTGACTGATTTTCAGTTTTATATCATTATGGTCCAAGAAGATGCTTGATATGATTTCAGTCTTCTTAAATTTATTGAGATTTGTTTTGTGTCCTAAGATGTGGTCTATCCTAGAAAATGTTCCATGTGCACTTGAAAAGAATGTATATTCTGCAGCTTTTCGGTGAAATGCTCTGAGGATATCAATTAAGTCAATCTGATCTAGTGTGTTATTTAAGGCCACTGTTTCCTTGTTGATTTTCTTTCTGGAAGATCTATTCATTGATGTCAATGGGGTGTTAAAATCCCCAACTATGACTATATTACTGTCAATCTCTACCTTTATGTCCATCGAGATTTACTTCATGTACTTACGTGCTCCTGTGTGGGGTACATAAATGTTTACAAGGGTTGTATCTTCTTGTTGGATTGTCCCATTTATTATTATGTAGTATCCTTCTTTTTCTCTTACTGTAGACTTTGTTTTAAAGTCTATTTTGTCAGATATAAGTGTTGCTATCCTAGCTTTTTTAAAATTTCCATTTGCATGAAATATCTTTTCCATCCTTTTACTTTTAGTCTGTGTATATCTTTCATTCTGAGATGGGTATCTCATAGACAGCATGTTTGTGGGTCTTGTTTTCTTATCCATTCAGCTACTCTATGTGTTTTGATTGGAGCATTTAAGCCATTTACATTGAAAGTGAATATTGATAAATATGTATATATTGCCATTTTATTCTTTTAACTATGTTCCTCTGTTCTTTTGTTTGTTTTTTGGTCTGGGAAGCTCTTTATTTCTCCTTCAACTTTAAATAATAGCCTTGCTGGGTAAGGTAATCTTGGTTGTAGGTCCTTGCTTTTCATCACGTTGAATACTTCATGCCAGTCCCTTCTCGGGCTCTCCCTTTTTATGGTCTCCTACACTCAATAGCCAGGGGTTGATGGCTTTTGAAAACTTACCCTTTCACTTTTATTGCCGTGAACATGACCACTGCCACTTTTTCCCCCAGTGTATTTTGGATTAAAAAAAAAAATGTAGCAATGGGTGCAGAAGTCTAAAGGCTGTGCCCACAGCCTCAGGATGTGTCACAGAGAGAAGCTGGCACCCTTGGCCCTCCCCACCAACCCTGCCTTCCTCCTTTTCATTTCATGACCCAATTTTTCTCCCCCACATCCGCTGCTCACCCCACCTGACTTCTTCGTGTCCTATTAAGGTCCTATCCAGCTTGGGTTGGCTTTCAGGGACCTCATGGGAGGATCTTGGGGGCAGTCCCATTCTCACGAGGTGACCACAGCTAAAGGGCTAGGCTCTGGCCTACCCAGCAGGGTGCTCTGACTATCTGTGTCCTGCCTCTTGTTTGCTCTGTGTCTAAGGCTGACCTCTCACCTACATCCCCCCCCTGCTACACTGGAGATGCTGCTTCCTGTTGCCGGATAGACTAAGAATTGGAGAGAAAGACAGGCATCCTGGGTCAGGGACCTGATATCAGCAGGGTGGTCCAGGGACCTGCCTCTCAGGAGTGGGCACTCAGTAAGAAGCCAGTCAGCAAAAGGCTGCTCAGGAATTTGGAGGGGTCTCCAGCCCAGTGTCCTTAGCTACCTCAAGCATCATCTGGCCAGCTATCCTGGAGTCTCCCACTCCCTTTATTTCCCTAGGGTCGGGTGAGCCCCCGCTTTGACCTAGAGATTTCAAGGGAGCCTGAGTGGGGTCACAGTACCCTCTTCTCTGCTTTCTCTGTAAGATTTTGCCTGTAAGTCTTCTGTGAGTGAGGCTGAACAGTGTGGGCATTGTCGTCTCTTCCCTTTGCCTGCGTTTCCTCCTAAGCAGTCATGTGCCTGTTCTCAGCACCCTCTGCCCACATCAGTTCCTGGCCTGTCTTCGTGGTTCACCTTCCCCAGCTGGGCTAGCTCAGGCCACTCTGGCCACCCACTGCGGAGGCATCTGTTTACTAAACAGGTACAGGTGAGGTGCAGAGCAGGCTGGGCTGGGGGGAGGGCTGAGCTGTGGCCTGGGGCAAGAAGGGGGGGGCTTTGACACTTCCTGGGTGCTTATCTGTTTGAGTGTCTCCTGGCCACAATGTCCCAGGTGGGAGTAGAGGGAGAGGAGTGGCCTGGGTGTGACTTTGTTTGGGCATCTGCTTAATCTCTATTTATTTATGTGGGCACTTTTACTGCCAAGAAGTCTTTTGGGTTTCCTCTGGGGTGAAGGACACTCTCATATTGCTCCACAGGCAGAAAGGGGGCCACTCAGACACCTCCACCCCCACCCCTGTTGCTGCATGTCAGTGCCTGAAGGCAGGGAGCCAGGTGGTTCCTTTGGCAGGGATTCATTTAAGAAGAGAAGTCTGGTAGCCCAAAGTGAGGTCACTGCTTCTGTGTGTAGTGGCTCTACCCTGACCTGTCTCCTCGGGAGCCCCCTGTCTAGTACCACGGGCGATCAGATCTCTAAGCAATTCAGATATTTGTGCCCTATTCCGTACTTACAGCGAATTAAGGACGCTGCCTTGTGTATATTGCCTTGGGATTTTATTCTCTCTCTCTAGGTGAGTACAGTCATGGATTTAAGGGTCCCCGTGGTTCCCCTCCAGGAAGCCTGTGCATAGGCATCCTGGTGCCTCACTCAGAGACAGTGCTGCCTGGCATCCTGAGGTCCCGTCCAGCTGTGGCTTCCTGCTCACTGCTGGGCCCTGCAGCATCTAGTGCAGCCACGGGCTCTAGGCCCTGCACGGCCACAGGCAGTCTCACAAGCCAGCCATCCTGGACTCCGGGGCCCCCTCTCCACCCATCCACTCGGTCACACCTGCGCTAGTTTGCTTATATCTGGACACCAACCTGAAAATGGCTGTCATCCCACTTCACAACCAGCTCTTGTTGCTGCTGGCAGGGCTGTCCCCTGAAGCCAGTGCCGACCTGTGAAACAGCCCTGCCTTCCCAGAAGCTGCCCTGCCATGTCAGGCCCGCCGGCTTAGTCAGTGTGTGTGACTGTTCCGAGGTGGAGCCTCACGGGCTCAAATGACCCTGATTGGCATGGGTTTCGGCTGCCAGTGTGACAGGGCCTCTTTTGGCAAAGTGAGAGAAAGTAGTGGGCTGGGTAGGGTGGGAATCTGGCTTGTTAGGTTTCGTTTCTATGGCTTGAGGACGTTTACAGTGTGGCTACAATCTCCTTAAATCCCCTCTGTCTTCCATTGTTCCTGCATGTCCTATTTCCTTTCTTCTGTCTTGATCCTTTTGGGCACTGTGATCTGATTCCTTGGTGTTCATTAATTCAGTAAATAACTGCTCTACACCAGGACCAGAGTAGGGTGTTGGGGACAGATGACTAGAACACAGTCTCTGCCCTTCAAGACACCCGCTCAGTGGGAGACTAGACACAAATTCATGCTCCTGCATCCACAGTAATGGAGCTCTGCTCCAGGTTGCTGCATCCAGCTCTGCTGCCAGTTGGTGGCAACATCACCTCCATCCAGAGCCTCTAATAATAGTAATTACAATAACTTTCAGATATTATTTATTAAGCACTTTCTATGCTTGTGTGAGCTCTAGAATGTTATCTGGATTTTCTTCCCTCAAATGCTAGGCAGTAGCTATTAACTGTTAGATTATGCTCGTTTTACAGAGAAAAAACTGGAAAAGAGCAAGATGAAGCCATTTCTCTAAGATCATACAAGTAGGAAGTGGAGGAACCAAAATTGGGACCCAGCACCTCACCCTCAATCATCATGCCCCCAGGAGGGCCGGTAGGTTAGAGGCTGGCGCACGGCATGATTCACCCGAAGGACATCTTTTTCTGACCTTGGGGCAAACCTGAGAGGCCTTTGCGGATCTCAGCTTTACAGCCCTGGCGCCAGAGGGCCTCGACCTGGAGGCACGCAGCTCTCCGGAGAGAGGCATTTCCTTGTGTCTCCCAGTGTTACTGCAAATCTAATCAGAGACCACTCCTCCTGCTGTGGGATTAGTCAGCGTCTCCTAACGAGCAGCCCCAGAGAGGAGAGAGCTCTTCAGCCACACTCCGGACCTGTCCCCCACCCTCCTGCCTTCAGCTGCCACAGCACTTTTTCCTTCCTATTTTGTTGTCTTCGTGTTGGGTGGACTTTGGAGAGGGTCATTAAGGGCCAGGATTATAGCATAGGCGTGGCTTCAGGGACAGTAAACATGGTGACTCTGGCAAGAAAAATGAGAAAGGTACAGCTCCACAAGTGAAAGCACATAGGTTGGGACTACTGAAAAACCTTCCCAAGGGGTTCTGCAACACAGCATATGCAGTGGTTGACAGTATGAAAACAGGAGGGGAGGAGGTAGCATGTGGATTATGTGTGTGAGAAGTCCACTGTACTTAGCATAAAGGGGGCCCTTCTGCCTTTTCTAGACTGACTTAGAAGGGCCCCAGGGTATAGCAGTGAGACCAGCAGCTTGTTCTTCCCAGGTGGTCTAGGATTAGCCTCCTATATTCTAGCTGCAGCCTGTTTCCCTGGACAGAGCTGCTGAGAAGGCTCTGGCCAACCCGGGGCCCCACTGCCAAGGCTGGGTCCTGAGGTCTGCTATTCCAGGGTATAGGTGGCTCTAGAACGGGAATCCCCAACTGGGGCTCATGGTTGCTTCTAGGGACACAGGAGGCCCCTGAAACTGTGGGTGAGACTTTGTGCATTGTCTGCGGAGCAGGAGCATAGCTTCCTTTATTGGATTCACCAAAGGGTCTGTGATGCCCACAAATGCTAAGAACCTCTGCATTACTGCTTCCGGAGGCTTGGGCCAGATGGACATCCAGGCCTGCTGTGGAGTAGCCTGAGCCCTCGGAGGCCCAGAGACAGCCCTGCCATTCATTCCCAGTGGGGTGATTTCAAACGTGCACCTGCTCCCCTGATCTTTGGGAACCCCCGCCACGACCCTGTGATCAGGTTTTCCTCCTTCTGCACACACAGAGAATGTCACCAACGGCACCGTCAGGGGCACAGCAGAGCCAGAAGAGGAGGAGGTGAGCTGGATGAATGGCTGGCTCAGCTGCCAGGCCCAGGATGAGATGCTAAACTTGGCCTTCACCGTGGGCTCCTTCCTGCTCAGTGCCATCACCCTGCCCCTGGGCATCGTCATGGACAAGTATGGTCCAAGGAAGCTCAGGCTGCTGGGCAGGTCAGTGTCGGGGGTGGGACCCTGGTGGACCCTCCTGGGCTGATTTCCCCACTGTAGGGAGTCCTGGTACCTGCTCTCAGGTACACTGTGGAGCTCCCTAAATGCCCACCCAGAGTGGGATTTCTGCCACCGAATCAGTAGATACTATGATCCTTGTAATGTACTAATACTGCATTAGAAAGGCACAGGACCCGAGGCCTGCCTGGGAGGGTCTAGAGTTGCTCGTCATTAAAACCACTGGCTTCCACAGTCTTTTTGACCTCCTACCTATATCAGCAAAAACAATGTTTTGAAAACATACTTCTAATATAAGAACATGGAATTATCAATTATATATACACATATGCCATTCTTAATTTTTTTTAATGGGCTTTGTGATACATATACAAAAATATAAATGGAAATGGCTGAGATTAAAAATTATAAAATAGAAGTCCTGATATTTTCCCTACACCGGCACCTGTGTAGATCATTATGTGCATCCTCTGGGGTGTGTGTCCCTGGTCTATAAAGTTCCAGGGTACCAGACTCGGGGACAGTCTGCCAGCAACTGGCCTCTGAGGTTATGGCCTCCCTAAGCCAGTCCCACTGGGAAGGATCATCTTACAGGGCAATGGTGTGCAATGAGCAAGGCCTGTTACCAGGAAGGGAATGGGTGGTAGAACAGTTTCATTCACGTTTTAGAGCTTAAGCGACTCCGGTTGGCAGAGCAGAGCCAAATAGGGGGGACCCAGGAGCTGCCGCTCATCTCGCCTGTGTCCGGTGGATTCTGTCCACCCGCTGGCTGATTGAGCATAGGAACCTGGGGAATGGATTGTGCCTTCTCTCGCTTCAGAGCCCTGGCACCTCCAGTCGGGGCGTGGGGAGCAGTGCAGTGTGGTGTTTACCAGAGCTGGCCGCCAGGCTTGAATTCCTGCTTAGGCACTTCCTAGTTAGAGATTTTGGAGAAATCAGTGCTTTTTTTCCCTCCCCTCTGTCAATAAAATGGGGCCAATTATACTCCTTAGAATTGTTAAATAAAATATTGTATATAAATTTTCCAGAAGTATCTAAAACATAGTAAATACTCCCAAATAATAATATTAACAATAGCAATAACAAGAAATAATATATCATTTCTGCTTGTGTTTAGTGCCTGCTTTGCTGTCTCCTGCTTGATGATTGCATATGGAGCACGTAACCCAGACTGTGAGTATGCTTTTCTTCCACCCTTTCGTCAGGGACTGGGGAGAGTGCCCTGAGGGGCTCACAGGCCCCTCTCCTCTAGGACGCTGAGCAAGGCCTGGTGCTCACTGCTCAAGTTAGAGGTGATGCTTGTTAGGCCTTTACCTACTTAACTTATCTCAAATGAGTGGCTAAGTGAAAGAACATTCGCCCCGGACAGATGTCTGAGGCAAGCTCGCAGGGTGTGTGAGACTCCCATGGCATCGCCGAGCCAGGCCAGTCTGGAATGGCCTCATTGATCCAATCTGGGAGACAAGTTCAAAGAACCAAGCCAGATGCAGGGGTGTGTGTGCAGCATCGTGAGCTGCATCCCCTTGAGGCAGCTCAGGTCAGTACTTTAAAGATAGCTTTACTTCTGGCCAAGATGGAGCTGTAGGTAGATACGCTTTGCTTCCTTGCACAACCAAAAGAAAGGCAACAACAAATTTAAAAACAAAAAACAAACAGAATGGCCAGAAAATCGAGCTGTATGGAAGTCCGACAACCAAGGAGTTAAAGAAGAAGCATTCATCCAGACCGGTAGGAGGGGAGGATACAGGCTGGTGGGGCGGAAAGGACGTGTGGCAAGGTGGTGGCTCCAGTACCGGGCGGGCCAGATGGCATCTGGTGTTCCCACATTTGCATGTAGGTAAACCGGGAGGAACAACAAGGGAGTGAGACAGACTGTGCAACCCAGGGTTCCAGTGTGGGCAAAAGAAAGCCTCAAAATCTCTGCCTGTAAAAACCTATGGGGGTTGTGGTGGTGGGAGAAACTCCCAGCCTCAAAGGAGAGTTCATTGGAGAGACCCTCGGGGTCCTAGAATGTACACAAACCCACCCACCTGGGAATGAGCACAAAAAGGGACCAATTTGCTTGTGGGTAGCAGCGAAAGTGACTGAAAGTGGGAAGAGAGCCGAGCAAGTGGCATTGTTCCCTCCTGGACACCTCCCTCACATGCAGTGTCACAACACAACGACCTGGGTTGCCCCGCCCTAGAGAATACCTAAGGCTCCGCCCCTGACAAACTAATAGGTGCCCCCGAGACAAAGAAATATGACCCAAATGAAAGAACAGATGAAAACTCCAGAAAAAGAACTAACCAACAAGTAGATAGCCAACCTATCAGATGCAGAGTTCAAAATACTGGTAATCAGGATGCTCACAGAAATGACTGAGTACGGACACAAAATAGAGGAAGAAGTTAAAGCTATGCAAAGTGAAATGAGGAAAAATATGCAGAGGACCAACAGTGAAGGGAAGGAAACTGGGACTCAAATCAGTGATTTGGAATAGAAGGAAGAAATAAAACATTCAACCAGAACAGAATGAAGAAACAAGAATTCAGAAAAATGAGGAGAGGCTTAGGAACCTCTGGGACAACTTTAAACATTCCAACATCCAAATCATAGGGGTGCCAGAAGGAGAAGAGGAAGAGCAAGAAATTGAAAACTTACTGGAAAAAATAATGAAGGAAAACTTCCCCAACCTGGCAAAGGGAATAGACATCCAAGTCCAGGAAACTCAGACTCCCAAAGAAGTTGGACCCAGGTAGGAACACACCAAAACACATCATAATTACATTACTCAAGATTAGATATAAGGAGAGAATCTAAAAAGCAGCAAGAAAAAAAGAGAGTTACCTTCAAAGGAGTTCCCATAAGACTATCAGCTGATTCCTCAAAAGAAACCTTACAGGCAAGAAAGGGCTTCAAAGAAGTATTCAAAGTCATGAAAGACAAGGACCTACACCCAAGATTACTCTATCCAGCAAAACTGTCATTTAGAATGGAAGGGCAGATAAAGTGCTTCCCAGATAAGGTCAAATTAAAGAACTTCATTATCATCAAGCCCTTATATTACATGAAATGTTAGAGGGACTTAATCGAAGAAAAAGAAGAAAATCAAAACTATGAACAGTAAAATGACAAGCTCACAACTACCAACAACTGAACCTAAACAAAAACAAAAACCAAGCAAACAACTAGAATAGGAACAGAATCACAGAAATGGAGATCACATGGAGGGTTAGGAGCAGGGAGGGGGTGGGGGGAGAATGGGGGAAAAGGTGAAGGGAATAAGAAGCATAATTGGTAGGTACAAAATAGATATGGGAAAGGTTAAGAATAGTATAGGAAATGGAGAAGCCAAAGGACGTACATGTGCAACACATGAACAGGAACTAAGCAGAGGGGGGACTACTGGTGGGAAGAGGGTGCGGGGCAGAGGAGGAGAATGGGGAGAAAAAAATGGGACAACTGTAATAGCATAATCAATAAAATATACTTAAAAAAATAAAGATAGTTTAGAAGCTCCCTGGTCACCAAACCTGTGCTGGCGGAGCTGTTGCTTCAAGGACTTACAGAACAAACATAGAACGACATAGAACTTGAGTTTCACTATTGATTGATTTGGGGATACCTGTATTTTGGGTTTCAGTGAAGCAGCTTCTTTAGGCCTCTACTCACTGTTCAGGTTAGTGGAGAACAGGGATGGTGGGGGGCACCTTCTGCGAGAGCCCAAGCCCTGGCCGCCCTGAAGCGCAGCTGCTGGTTCCCTGCTTACGTGCCTTCTGTTCTCTTTCAGCTCTCTCTGTGCTCATCTTCATCTCCCTGTCTCTGAATGGCTTTGGTGGGATGTGCATGACTTTCACCTCATTAACAGTAAGTATCGATTTCTTTAAGAGTACCTAAGTTCAGTCATCTCCTTGTGAATTCGAGGCAGCTTTTACTGGCTTCCGTTTCTTCGCCTTCCATTTACCTGCACGTGCCTGGATGTCCCAAGCACTAGAGGGCCGCTGGCGGTGAAGGGGCTGTGCAGCAAAGGCAGCCACGGCCTCGGCAGCCGGGGAGGGGGTCCTGCAGGCACAGCAGAGCTCGGCTCTCCGAGTGGGCCCATCTCCTGCTGGCCTTGGCCCAGGTGCTGAGGAAGCCAGCCTACTAGCCATGTGTCCTGGGAAGACAGGAGCAGGGAAATAAAAGCTACCGCCCACTTGCTTTTCTCTTACTTTCTTTCCTTTTTTAGGACATACATACATACATACATACATACATACATACATTTATTCATTTAGAGGGGAAGAGAGGGAGAGAAATGCCAATGTGTGGTTGCCTCTCACATGCTTCCCACTTCCTGTTTTCTGTGTCAGCTCTGGCTAAGAGTACAAGCTAAAAAAAACTTCTCTCAGAGTCTCCCCACCTCTAACCATTGCCTTTGTCCAGAATTAAATGTGGCTGCCTCTCCTCTTGGTTTTCAATATGCCAGGACACAGAAAGACCCTCGAGGGAAAGAGATGTTTTCTTAGGGTGCTGAGCACCCCCTTATCGGTAGCACCAGCACGTCACAGAACATGCTTCTTTTGGAGGGGACGGAGACTGCAGGAAGGGTCACGGTGAAGGAAGGAGAGTTAGGACACTCTTTCCTGGGAGGAGGAAGGAAGCCCTCTGCAAGGTGGGGCCAGGTGGCCATTAGGAAAGAAGTGAGGCTAGTAGGCTCTTCAAAGGCATTTCTGTCCAACAGGAAAATCTGGCCTGCCTCGGTTTCCCCATGAACAAGTTTTTATGACCCAGTACCTACCGTCACTATGTGCAGGTCACTCTGGTTTCTGATTTCTCTTCCCACCAAGGAGTCAGGAGTCAGGCTGTTGAGGGGCCTGTGTTTAGCTTTGTGGGAGCCCTGGGACCGCTGGTCTTGTAAGGAGCCTGAGGAGGCACTGACACCGCCGTGAGGCCCGGCCTGCAGGCTGCGGCCAGAGGCCAGGCCAGGCCCAGCGCCTCTTCTGTTCACCCTTCCTATGCTTTGCCTTGTAAACTTTACTCTGGATGGAAGGATCAGCTCTCTGGGTCTGGGTCCAGGTCCTTGGAAATGAATGTTCAGCGGCATCTGTGTTAGGCGACAAAGGCATGGCACAGGAGCACGTGCACAGTGTGCTTGGGCAGCGGGTGACACGCACAGACATGGGAGCTCTGGTCACCCTGCCCCAGCGTGAGAGAGATTGGGTGTATATTCTTTTTTTTATTTATTTATTTATTTATTTATTTATTTATTTATTTATTTATTTTTAAATGTGCTGTCTTTCTGAATACATTTAAAAGGATAAATAGTCCTTTCAATGCAGAGGAAAAGGACAGACATTGCTTTAGCACAGAGTCAAAGCCAAGGGAACTATAAAGCACACTTGGGTGTTCACTGTGCCATGGGTGTATATTCTTTTGTGCATTTTTATTTCGATTTTTTTAACCAGGTAGATTGAAGAGAAAACAAACATATTCTCTCCCCAACTCAGATACCCACAGGTAAATAAATGTCAAAACTGTAGGAAATCAACTGCCAAAAGTCCACAAATTCCACTAAGCTTTGTAAACTGTGTACCAGGAGTCACGGTTCTGCTGCTTCTTCGACAGCGTGAAAATGACCAACTCTTTCATCAAAATGAAGATTAAAAAACTGGCATCACCGCACTATTTTAGTCACTCTATGCCTGTGTTATGGCAGTTCTGAGTTTTGGGGTAAAAGAGAAAGAGATGGTCCTTGAACGTGAGGAGTTAATGCTCTGAAACGCAGATAGATGCTTTATTGTGATAAAGCAAAAGACAAACAACTAGAAACCACCATGCCAAGAATCCTCTCTAAGAAAGCCTTTAAAACGAATTTATAATTGTGTAAGAGACCTTTAGGGGAGACTATTAAGCCCATAAGGATTTTTCTTTTCTTTTTTTTTAATTATGAGACAAAAATGTTTTTATTTTAACGATTTAATATTTTAGAAATATATACACTATAAAACTCTGTAAGCCTACCTTTATCAGCTTAAAATGTATCTCTTCAGTATTTAAAAGAAATCTGCATATACCAGTGTTACCCTTTTTAAAAAAGAAACACTGTTATAACTTGCCTTTATTACTTAACAATGTATCCTTTACCTCTTTTCCTGCCAGTGCTTAGAAATCTTAGTATTTGAAACTCTAGAGACCTTCCTCATTATTAAAGAGTTCCATGTGATTCTGTAATGTAGATAGACCATAATTTATTTAACCAGCTTCCTACTAATGGACACTTGGGTTGGTTTCCAATTTTCCTGATTGTGATGCTGCTGAAGTGAACGTTCCTATACATATATTTCTGTCAAGTATGTACAGGAAGTGGGATTGCTGGGCCACAGGATCAGCATGTTTTAAATGTTAATGTATACTGTCAGGTGGTCCTTCCAAAACTGGTACTGTACGCTGACACTGGCCTACCAACATGGATGCGAGTGCTTTCTTCTCCACACACCTTCCACTACCAGCCTATCATTAATCTTTTAAAAACATTAGCTAGTCTGATTGGGTGAAAAATGATATACCATGATTTTTAATATTTTTTAAAGATTCTATTCATTTATTTTTAGAGAGAGGGGAAGGGAGGGAGAAAGAGGGGGAGAGAAACATCAGTTGGCTGACTCTTGCATGTGCCCCAACCAGGGACCGGCCCGCAACCCAGGCATGTGCCCTGACTGGGAATCAAACCAGCGACCTTTCGCTTTGTGGAACAAAGCTCAGCCCACTGAGCCAGGCTGGTCAGGGTGATATACCATGATTTTTAAATTTTTTTCTTCATTTCTTAGTGAGACAGCGTCTTTTTACCTCTTTTTTGTGGCCATTTGTACTCTGTGAATTGCTTCTCTGTGTCATTTGTCTGTTTTTCTACAGGGTTATCTTCCATATACAAAAAATTAGCTCTGTTTTTGAGTGAGCAAGAGATCTTGCCCTAGGGCGCTCTGGGAATAAGCCTTAGGAGGGCTGTGCACTCCCTGGAGATGGCAGGCAGATCGGATGTGTGCTCTGCAGCGCGTCTGAGGGAGGGTCTGTTGCGTTCAGCAGCCACTGCCAGGTCTGCGTGAAGGCTCAAAGCACCTCAGCTGAGTGCTCTTATCAGCACCTCATTTACCCACTGGGAGGTAAAGTGCTACGCAGGCCAGACAGTGACCAGGCAAGAAAACTGTCTGGTCGGCACTTAAAGCCTTTGGTTAGCAGGGATCTGTTTAAGGGGGGCTGGTGGCTTGTTCTCTAAGGTCCGTATTCTTGGGTCTAGAGCAGAGGTCAGCCAACTGCTACCCTCTAGGCCAAATCCAGACCGTTGCAGGGGAGTTGGTGTGGTAAACAAACTTTTATTAGTGCATAGCCACTCCCACTTGTTTCTTTTGTGCTGTAGCAGCAGAATAAAGTAGTTGTAGAGACCATATGGCCTGCAGAAGTTAAAATATATGCTGTCTGGCCTTTTGCGGAAAAAGTTAGACAGCCTTTGGCCTGGAGGCACCAAGAAGGTGCCCAGTCACTGTGCCCCGCAGGAAGGCCGGGCTGACACCCCCTCACCCCCACATCCTGCTGACGCCCCCCTTCTAGTTGCACAGGCCGATTCCCTAAGCACTTTTCTCTAAGCACTTCTTGTCATCTCTTTTTCTGCCACCACTGCCCCTGGTCTGAGGCCTCAGGTGGGGCTCCCGTGGCTGCCTGTCCGCAAGACAGGCCCTGAGAGGGGGATGAGACGCAGGTCAGAGAGGACAGGGCGGGGCTCTGGGGCCACGTTCTCGGGCTGCCGCAGCTTCTGCCAAGCAGAGCGGAATCCCGCTCTGACACGGCACAGGCCTTTAAAAAGCAGAACTGTCAGGAACAGCTCCAGGAGAAGCCGAACTGGCAGCACAATGGCACTTTCTGTTTGTGCCCCTGCCCATATTCTAATGTGGGGGGACAAAGGAGTCTACAGGGTCGCCTTTAGGAGCATCTAAATCAAATCTCCTACAACCGCTTTGGGGCTGTGGATAATTTGGTCCATGATAACCTGGGAGGTGCGGGATGTTGTCATGGAAACTTTAATATGGGACTTTCTCAGTCCCAAGGGGTTTTGTGTTTCATGGGCTGTGGTATAAATAAAGACGTGCAGGCACTGTAGGCTGTTACCCTCTGTTGGTAGAGAGGAAGCCCCAAATTGGCAAAATGCCTTTTCCCCACAGGCCAGGACGAGATGGCAGACGGAGGCCTGCCGATGGGTGACACTTTCCTCTAGGGGGGAGGCTCAGGGGGCAGGTGGAATCCCATGCCAGGTGGACTACCTGATGGCCAGAATGGGCTCTCAGGTCCCTGCAACAGAGGGTGATGTCCTTAGAGGAGGGTGCCAGGTCACTCCGCAGGTGCAGAGCCCTTCCCGAGGTGCCGAGCCTCAGCCTCCCCAGGACACCTGGACGGGATACTTTGGTCTGTTTGCTCAGTGCCTTGCACTTGTACAGGCCTTTAACTCGCTCCATCGGCTGGAGTGCAAATACCAGCCGGCGGCTGAGGCGGCGTCTTTGGGGCACCACCCCACAGTCCAGGCCTGGGTTGCTTAGAGATGGCGGCAGATGCAGCCAACATTGTGGACATGTCTTTTCCACCTCATTACCCTGATCTAGGTCAGAGTGGGCAGGACGGGGAGTTCTGAGCTGAAACCTCACAGAAGAGTAATTACAAAAGGTTGCCAGGCTCCTTGATGAAAAATGTCTCTGTGGGCTTTTCCTGTTTGATTCATTGACATCTGACTTTGAACCTGAGGTAGAAATGATCCCATGGCAGTTGGGATCTGAGTGTGAGGAGAACAAAATATCCTTCTGCTGAAACCAGAGAGAAGGGGGGGGAATATGCAGGTGTAGCACTGAAGCAGATGTCCCTGTGTGGGGCGGGGCGGGGGTGCGTTAACATGCCAGCTCAGCTGACCTGTTTCTATAGCCAGGCGAGGGTCCCCACAGCACCTGGTCAACTCTCCAGGAGCCCAGGTGACATGTGGGCAGGACTGTGCCAGAGCGCAGAACCCATTCTGCCTCTTAGTTTCTGTTCCGTGCCTTGTGAACCCAAAGCAGTCAGCTGATCACCATTGGCCTGGGAAAAATTTACTTGTCAAAGGGTTCCGCATCGTGAACTTGCTTCAGCATGTGACAAGTTCAGGGGACACTGGCAGGGCTTGACCTGGCTGGGAAAGCAGATGAGGTAGCTGGGGGAGTGGAATCCCTCCTCCCACCCCTTCAGCAGTGAAGTGGAAAGGTGACCACAAAGACCTGCTCCTGGCATTAAGTGCTTGGATCTGCCAGGTTGTTTGGGGTGAGGAAATAGCCCGGCTTTGCTGAGTCTGCTTGTCTAGACTGGTACCTGGGTCCTGGCCTGTTCAGGTTGTACGGAGCTCTGGGTGTGTACACCAGCCACCTAAGGACAAGACTCACCTCTGGAAGGGACCTGAGGCCAGAGCGCCAGCTCCTCCCGGGCTGCACATGGCATCTCCCCAAGGGCGAGGGTGTGTCCCCAGCTGGTGGGCTCAGGAAACCACAAATTTGGAACATCAGTGCCAGGTGGCTACACAGTGGCCCTTCTGTTCCTGCCTACCAGCAAGCCCAAGGACTGTCTTGGGGCCCCTGGGTAGAGAGACATCTTAGAGGGGGTGTCCTTGGGAGGACAGCCCATCCTCACCACCTGGGAGCCTAAGCCTCTGGAGACTCTTGTCCAGTAGCCTTGCTCTATGGCCAGAACTCCAGGGGAGAGACCATCTGCAGCTGCTGATTTCCCCTCTAGGAAGGTCACATAGCTGGGCCTGTTTACTGTGCAGCTGAGGGGCTGGGAGAATGAGTCACCAACTGCATCCCCTGTGAGGGAGCACAACCGCGTGGAAGGCAGCACCTGCCTAGCCGAGCCCACTGCAGCCCTGCTCGCTCAGGCAGTGGGGGCGGCGGTGGGAAGCACCCAGAGCTGGGGGACTGGGCCTGCGCTCCCCACCTGTGAGTGCAGTGACTCCCGAGTCAGGAAGCAGCCTCTGCTGAGTGTTTTCCCCTGGCATCTGTCATTGCAGCACAGCTCCGGCTTCCTACTTGGCAGCAGAGCTGGCTCTTCCCCGCCCCTCCACCCACCTGGCCCTTGAGGCCTGAACTAGAGCACTCTGGTCAGTACTCAGCCATCACTCCATCACCAGGCTTCTGAGTAGCCATTATGTGCAGCTGATGTTGGGCAGGAGCAGAGAAGAGAGAGAAGAAGGGAGGAGGGATGTGAAGACCAGTGGCAGGAGGTGACTTGGACAGGAAGATGAAACAGGAGAGTCCACTTGATGGTGTGGCGCAGGACCTTGGAAGGTCGGCCGAGGAAGGCTAAGGGGACGGGAGGGGGCAGATGGGTCTGAAAGGAGCATCTGAGCCCTGGCTGGA